TGCCCTTCTGCCCTTCTACCACGATGCTCTGCATGATCTTAAGCCCAAAGTTGTCTGACCATGGACTGAACCTCTGAAACCACGAGCTCAGAGAATAAAATTTTCCTCCTYTTAGTTGTTCTGGTCAGGTATTTTGGTCACAGTGACGCAAAGCTGACTAAYATAACATTTAAGTCATTTCTAGTTGTGTGCATTATGATAAATAATGTCATATGAGTATTCCACTGTGCTTTGAAAACATCTTGAAAAATGTCTGTGATCACTTGGATGGTAATTATTTGTGTGACTGTCTTTCCCACCAGACAATTATTCACACCCTCAGGGAGAAAAATCATTATTTCTCTTGAAATATGCCCTACCCTGAGGAGCTTCAGTAGGAGTTTAATATATATTATTGAAAGAAAGAAGGAATAAATGAAAGGATGGTCATACAATTGGGTACACATGTACCCAATATTATCACATATATCTTCAGTTTTTACTCAACTTCTAATTGGCCTATAGTTTCATATCTCTTAAGCATTATTCAATTTCCTACTCATTCCTAATTTCTCTTTACAGATATCATTACCACTGACTTAAATTCAATATGTAACTTTAATAACTAGGATATAAACCAATCATGGCTCCCTCATAGATTTTGGTGGTTTCTGGAAAAGATTTTATGAATTGCATAGAAAAAAAATACAAATGTAAGTACTGATACTTTTTGCCCAACCTTAAGCAGAAATGAGTTACTAAGACTGAAATTGTTAATTACAAGGGGAAAGAAAAAACCATGGTACATGTGTTGTATACTATTTACAGATGTTATCTATTAGAGGTTCTCTGGAGTACCATTTGCTGCTACAACTGAATAATCCCATAAGTTTTAACTCACCAATATGACTGCAGAATTATCTTAAATCACAGAGGGAAGAAGAGGAAAACCAACTAGAACTGGCTGAAATGCTGCTTATGTCTTTGTTAGAAGTCACAGTTTCCCTCACTTGTGACTTGTTTCTTCAGGATGCTAAAACAGCTTGCTAGGTTTTGTGGTGTATTACAGTTTAGCATATTATCAATGTGGCTCCCCCAAAAGGGAAGAAACTCATTGTCGGTGTCTCTGTGTGAGAGCTTGCATTTGGCTTACTGACTAATGCACTGCTTTGTGTTGGGTATATCAAGCAATGGAAGCCAACTGGTCTAGACAATGAGAACGTTCAGTTGATATCACAAATTTACAAGAGCTTAAGTTAGTTTTTTTTTTTAATTTCTTCTTACTAGGCTAGGAGCAATTAGTATTGTTATGCAATATGTTTCAAATGGTATATTTCAAAAAGCACAAAGAGAGTGGTATGGAATTATAGAACTGAAAATAGACTACTGGTTGGGTGCAAAATCACCAAGCCTCCTTATTTCCAAACAAGCATGTTATTGAATGCCAACACCGTTTTCTTTGGAAGGAGTAGAAGTGACTGTGAGCAAATGACTCAGCAGGAAAGGTGACCTTTATTTAATTTCACTTGTGCTCAGTTAACTAATTTTGTATCTTCCCTACCCAACATGCTTATTTTTAACTACCCAACATGCTTATTTATAAAGTTTCAGGTTGTGAATTGTTAGTCTTGCATGAAGAACACCAAATCTACTATAGGTTGAATATTTGTATTCTCTCAAACTTCATATGTTCAAGTTCTAAACTCCTAGTAAAGGGGGTATTAGCGTCTTGGGGAGGTAGTAGGTCATGGGGGTTGGAGCCATCATGAATGGGATTAGTGCCCTTATAAAATAGATCCTGGAGACCTCCTTTATTCCTTTTGCATTGTGAGGACACTGCCATATAGGAAGCTGGAAGTGGTCTTTCACCAGACACCAAGTCTGTTGGCACCTTAGTGATGGATTTAGCAGGCCCCAGAACTGTTGTTTAAAAAACCACCTGTAAATTTCTGTTGTTTACAGACAATATAATCTACGGTGTTTTGTTATAGCAACCTGGACAGCTGAAGATAAAATTTAATGCTGAATTTCTTCAGAAGCTTACCTAACTAATCTCAGGTAGAAAAAAGATGGTAGAGCTGAAATTTGAATCCTGGAAATGTGGCTCTAAAAATTGTTCCTTAATCCACTATGCCAAATTCTGACTGATTTTAGGCAAATGTTCTATCTGTAATAATGTCAAAATTATTTTTCTGAAGCACAGTCTTTGGCACGTCTTTCTCATAAAAATCCACCATCAATTCCTTTTTCTTGAAGTAGTGGTTCTCAACTGTTCTTTTCTAGAACCTACATGTCAACTATTATTCTTATTACAAATCACTTTTTCACTATTTTATTTCCAATCCAGAAAGCACATCTGAATGTTTTCTATTAAAGGTAGTATTATTATCATTGGGATGATTTTAAACTTGATCTTATATTCATATGTTAGATTAGAGTTTAACAGGATGTAACAGAATCGTGATTGCAATGGGCTAGCAAAACAGTGTTTTATTGTTCTCAGACATTCAGATATATTGAAGAAGCCAGTGAAGGTATGTGTAGATGCTTAAGGAACTTATTAAGAACACTGGTTCTTTCTTCCTTTATGCTCACCATGCTTAGCATATGACTTTGATTCTCAAGCTGGCTTCCTCACCAGGAAACATTACATTTATGAGCAAGGCAGGAAGAAGAAGAAAAGCAAAAGACAAAAAAACCCCAAAAAACCCAAAAAAAACAAGTAGGCATTTGTCTGGTGAAACCATCTTTTCCATTTCTTTCCAGAAAGATTCACCCCCTGCTACCATTTATATCTCTTAGACCACAGCTGTGTTGCTGGCTCTGCCTACCTACCAGAGGAGCTGTGAAACTGAATATTTCAATCTGGGAAAATTCCTGTCCTTGCAAAATCAGAGATCTGGGAGTTAGGAAAAAGGGATGAAGGCTGGTGGGCAGGCGATGGGCAGTTTGTGCTGTGTATATTATCATAAGCAAGCATTTGCGCCTCCACTCTTCATGAATGATTTTGTAATAAGCTCCATTAGTGGTCACAGGACACTAGTGACATGCTGACTCCATTGTTGAGGATGTCTGACCCCAGGAAAAGTCCCAATCCCTAAACAAAATATATAAGGAGGGATGTTGCCAGTTTGACAGCAGCCGGCTTTTCCAAATTCCTCTTCCATGACCTTTAGCCCTTTGCGTCAGCCACACATGATCCTCTTCCTTTTTGACTGCAATGTCCTTCCCAGCTTTAGGGTTTTTTGCCTGAGTCTTTTTCTCTGCTGAGAAGATCCTTTTCACCTTCCTTATCTGAAAGATGATACTTATTCTGCAAGCCCCAGTCCAAATATCATCACATCTCTGGAAACGTCCCTACCTTTCTCACTTAGATCTATTTTGGGTGCTTTATGTATGCCTCCGTTAGCTGGCTTGTCATTATTTAGTTGCATATTTGTCACTGCTGACAAATGGTATGGCCTCTTAGAGAATAAGGACCGTAATTTATTCAACTTTTTTTTACCCATTGCCTCCTGCAGTTCCTGGAATATGTTCAAGACACCTGCTTAAGGAAAAACATAACTGAATATTGTCTCTAACATATAGATGACCTACAAGGAGGTAAAGCAAACTATTTTCACTGTAGTCAGTAAAGATGCACTGAAGTATACCCCGTAAATCTAGACCTCAGCGTGGGTGTTGACAGAAATATGGAAGAGCAGATTGTCTTTTTTGGTCTTAGTTGGTGACAATATTAGTGTAATTCAGTAATTTAAATTTGTTTCTTTGTATTTTACCTGTTCTTTAACTTCCTTTCTGAAGAGTTAGCTGGTTTTGTCTTTGAACACATTTGAGAACAGTTTGTACCCTCCAACAACTATTGTTGAAGAGTCGAAAAGACCAATTCAACTCAAAATGATTTAAACCATAGGAAAACAAATGGTAGTTTATTAACTTTCAGGTTGTTCTTGGTTATGATTTTTATACTTGTCAAATGCTTGGTAATTTTCATTAGAGTGAGTTTAGGGGCAAATAGGAGTTAGGTAAGGATCAAAAAGAAAAGAGAAAGAAAACCCCACAGAATTGGATAAGGGGTTATAGTATATGTGGTTAATTCCTGATATTATGCTCTTCTTCTGGCCTGCTTTCCCTGAGGCAGGWCAGACATCACTAGTCAATCCAAATACCTTTCTCACTTAAGCCCAAACATGGCTTCAGACTACATCTCAATGCTATGAGGCTCCAGTTGTCTACTATCAACTAAATCAGAAAGATAAGCTGTATGAATGCATCCTTCATAAAGTCTATTCAGATCAATTCATTCCCTGTGAGTGGGCAGAGTATTTTCCTGACTCCCTTTGCAAAGTGAAGAAAGCATTATAACCTCCAAGTTTGAATTTGCAAATCTCTCTGAATGATTGAGTTCAGTATCTTAGAGTCACAGAGTTCCCAACACACCACTTCTGTATTTGACTTCTATTTCAGCTAGGGAATGAGAGGCATCATCCTTCACCCAGACTTTATAATTAAGGAGGGAAGACGCTAACGAATGCCAGATGATGACTGATAATAAACTGAGCACTTTATATTTACATCTTTTTGTTTTTCTAACAACCACATGAGGCCATTATTATTGTCCCCATTTTACAGATGAGGAAATAGCCTCAGAGAAATTAAGTCATTTGCTTAAAATCTCACAGCTGGTAAGTGATGAAGATAAGATTCAATCTCAGATTTGTGACATCCTGAATCATGCTAATGGACTCTGGAGAGTTAATCGGTTTAAAATCTGCTTTTGGCTTCTTTTCCTACCACTAAGTGCTTATGCTTTTGATAGCACCCCTGAGCTTTCACTTCATATTCCCTTGAGTCTTGGACACCATGGAGGTCAATGAAAAATAGATAAATGTAGATCAGATATATCCTAGAAATGATCGACCTTCGTGCCCATGAGGTGTGATTCTAGCCCTGGGGAGAGTATCTTGATGGAAACGAAAAGCTTGTTTAGGTTTAATTTTCTTGTGTCTCCTTTCTGGCAGGACATCGTCCCTATCAGGTGATCACTGCTCGAGTCCACCCAGGAGAGAGCAATGCCAGCTGGGTGATGAAGGGGACCTTGGAGTTCCTGGTCAGCAGTGACCCTGTGGCAAGGCTTTTGAGGGAAAACTTCATTTTCAAAATCATCCCTATGCTCAATCCCGATGGTGTCATCAATGGCAAGTATGTCACAACACGTCCCATCATCATCCCACCCAAGAAGTGCGTTGGCACTCTGGAAAGAAGGAAGTCTCTCTCCTGAGCTTCTGTTATCTGTACAAGTCACAGTGTATGCCCCATACACCTTTTATGTTGGTTTCATGCTTTCTTTGAATAGGATCATAGGTGATGAATACCAGAGGAAATGATCTAGTGCCACACTCTTCTTTTAGAATGGAGGACTGTGGTGTCCAGGGTCATCAGTTGACTTATCCAAGTCCCACGGTGAGTCAATAGCAAATTTAGGGCTTATTCTCTGATTTCTTCGCAGAGAAGACAAATGCCGATATTTTTCTTATTAATGTTTAATGCAAAGAAACCTTTATTCTCAATTTTAAGATGATAAGAGAGCATGAGCAGAACATCCAAGAATCATGGGATAGCATCAAAAGACCAAATATAGGGATTATTGGGTTCTAAATTCAACTAAAATAAGAGTGTCACTTTTGCTTAATGGAATGTTGGTGGCAAAAGAGAGGATTGGAGTCTCTCTTCCACCCACCCAGCCTCTACATGTCTTTGGAATAATGGGAAAGCTGATTGCTTGTTGATGAGGTCTGTGGCACAGGGTCGGCACTGCCACTGTTTGTGAGCTCAGGTCCAGCTGAGGTCCCCAAGTCACATGACCAGTGAGCAGGGACCACAAGCATTCATCTCAAACTCTGTGGACAAAGAATGAGGCCCCTTTATGTGGTGATAAATGGTTCTTCATTATAAAAATGGATATTAAATTCTATGGAAAAACAGAAATACAAGACCAATAAGAAATATTGAAAGAATGAATGATTTCAGAAGCTACAAAGGAAAATGTATTTACAATTTAAAATGCTAGTAGTAAAGTAGGAACAAGATAAACTTAGAAAACTTAGAAAACAGAAATACTAAAGTGCTGAAAGTGAAGAGATAAGAATTATATACAAATAGTAAAAAGAAAACCAAACCTTCAAAGAGATAAAATGATTTTCATAAGGATCATTTWAAAAAGATTAAATGGTTAATTTCTTTAAGTAAGAAAATTTGGTGTTAAACACTTTAGAATAGACTATATTCCAAAGGATAACACAAAATGAAGATAAGCCATTTTAAAAGGTCAAAAATACAAAGATGATGAAATATAAGAGGAACAGCATAAATTCCAAATGATGAAATATGTTAAATCATGCCACAGGCAGACAAATCAAAGCTACAGGCTAGAAAATTTATAGTAGGCAAAAGAAACAGGAGAAAGGGGAAAAAAAGTGATGGGGGAGGAAGGAGTGAATAAAAGAAAGAAAAGAAGGAAGGAAAGAAGGAAGGGGAAGTGAGGTTCGCACCTGTTTCTAACAGACATGGTCCTTCTAGCTTAGCAGTTCCCAGATGTCAATTGTGTGTGTGCACATGTGTATCTTTGCGTGCATGTGTAAAGACTRTTTGAAGGTAGGGCCATGATCCAGAGAGCAGGGTCTCTCCTCTTTCTCTATAGTTACTGGTTGGCATTCAAGCGTGTGTAAGGACTGAAAGACCAAGATGCATCAATCTGTCTCCAAGGAATATCAGCCATTCACCAAGGAGCATCAGTTGGGCCTCTGGCAGTAATTAGACTTCTAGGACCTCAGGCTGGATGTAGTCCTTCAGTAGGGTTCTCTCGTGGTCACACACAACACATCTGGCTCCTGCTGTGTTCCTTTAATTCTGGAGAACAGCTCTGGGACATCAATGAATGGTTCTTTCCTGCCTGATCAGCCAAGGGTTTTACTAATGAGCTTTATCAGTCTCGGTGGGTGAACAGCTAAGCAATGCATCTTTAGGACATGATATTTTTTTGATGATTTCTCATCCAAGTTGGCTGTTTGCTGAGGTCTCCCCTTCCATTGAATTGCCAGGGGTCCAGAAAAGAATGGAAAGAGCCCTGGACCTGGAGTTGGAACTTTAATTCGGAAATCTGGCTCTTTCCTTGACCTACTCAGTTTTCTCCTCTGAGGGAAAAGGAAGATAATGTGCTCTCTGTTGACCTTTCTGGAAAATGGTCTCATAAGCCCAAGGCAATATTCAAACTCAGAGCTTTAGTATTGAAGTTTCTGCCATTTCAGATGCTCACACCTCCAAATCAAGGGCTTGCTCCAAGCCTTGGGCTTAAAGTTAATGTGGTCTTGGTCTCTGAATATCTTCTTGGCTGGAACTCACATTATTTCCAGCTCACAGCTGGTTGCTTTGTGTTTCCAAATGGCAGGCCAGCTTCTTTTCAATGACACTAGCATTCATCATCATTACTATTATTTATTATGACTCAAATTACCCTTTTCATTTATATAGCATCTTTCATCATGGAACTCAAGGCACTTTGTACATCTTTGGATTATGCACACATTTCTGGCTAAAAGGGACTTGGAAATCACAGCCTTATTCCACTGGTAGGAAAATCTACAGGTCATAGCACATCATTATCAGAAGACTTGAGACTGCCATGGATGCATGATGTCTTACAATAAAAGGGCTTAAATGTCTCAGCTCCTGCGACCTGTTTTGAACATGCCTAACATATGGTTTATGTAACTTCTACTTAACTATCAGTGGTTGACAGTCCATTGTGCATAATAAGGTTGATTTGCGTTTTTACTGTGTTCCGATCTTTGCCTGTGAGCTTCACCCATTTTAGATAATCATTTGGACCACGCCATGGAAAAAAATCAAATTCCCCTTGTACACATCTGAATTTCTCCATGTAAAGTCCTCTCCAACCTTGATACAGTTCACCTAAAAATTGTTTATTGGATATTTTTCTCAACTTACTGATTTTTATGTGGACATGTATGAATGGGCTTCTTAAAGATGGGAGAACTGTCCTGTGTGTCACCTGGCCAGCAAAGAGACAAMCTTTGAACAAACATTTGAGAATCTACACGTGAACTTGGCAATTAATCGACTAACCTGTACTTTTGTTTTACAAGTAATCATGGGTCTCCATGGAGCTTGCAAGAACACATAAAAATAGACTTGTTTCCTTTTGTGGTGGTGGTGATAGAGCCTCTGAGGATGGCTGGGAGGTTTTGATAACAGCRGTCAGAGAGACAAAGCCAGGATTTTCTTGTAAAAAAGAAAATATAGTGGGTCTTGCGAAACCAAGGATCTCTTAGCAACACATCTGAACAGAAAAACAAAATAAAAAGATAGATGGTTATGTTAAGTTCTAAAAGAAATGATTTACTCTCTTTCTGGCCTAATGGTTTGTACTGAATTGGGCTAAATTCTGTGTAAGTCAGGAGAACCAATGCAGTGGCTCTCTGACTCTTATTCCCAAGGTAGAATAAAATAGAACATGGAGCCAACAAATCATGTAAGAACAGGAATGATATTGGTGGCTTGATTAGAGTAGGAAGTGAGGAGCAGGGAGGAGATTTTTAAGCTGCATAAAAAGTAGACATAATGTGTAAGTGGGAGCAGAGTGAAGGAAAGGAAGAAATTGAGCATGATTCCTGTTTTTAAATTTTTGGTTATTGGGTGGTAGCAGCGAGATAATTTTTATGAAGTCAACACACAGCCTAACATTTTATTCACAGGAGAATCAGAGCATGCTCATTCTTAGAGTATATTCTGCAAACTTGATTATCTTCTTCCAAACCACTGTGAAACAGATGAAACAAAAATAAAGAGCAAAAGAGTACTATAAGTAAATGCACCAAGGTGCTAAGAAGTAAGAGCTGAATGCACTAGAGGAAACAAATCAAACTATAAAAGTCTGGTGAAAAAATCTGGACCATCTTAGCAATTTGGGGTCACTTAAAGTGCCAACAGCCCTTTACTACACTGTGAGTTGTTAAGGTTTTATCTTTCTGCAAGGAGATAACTCACAGGCTTTATCTAAAAATATATATACTCAGAATCTTTTGGGGTCCAAGAAATACCTAATTATTTTACATGTATTGTCACATTTAATTGACATTACAACTCAGTATATATGGGTCTTTAATGCAGCTTCTAGATAAGAAAACTTGGTTACACAGGGATTAAGTCTTGGGTTCAGTTTAAACATTTGGGGTTATAGAGCCAGGACTAGAACTCATGTTTATCCTAATTTTCTTTGCTCTAGAGAGTTAAGAAAATTAGAATATAATAATCTTTAAAACATTCTAGCTGAGAGGGTTCCTGTATATTATTTAGTCCTAATCTTTAAAATGATAAGAGACAACCAGAGAGATAAAATGAGTAGCCAAGTCCACAGGATTAGTTCAAGGCAGACATATCATGAGAAGCTGTCTAGAAAATTGAAACACACACACATGAGTGGGCACTCACATACATGCCCAAAGTTATGTGGCTATCTCATGACAGAGCTAGTGTTCGAACCCAGTCTATCTAGCTCCTAAGCACTTGTTTATTTTAGTCTATCAGCTGTTCCCAACACGGTGATTTAGTWAGCTTTTTCACTGCTGTAACTAAAGACCGGACAAGAGCAATTTTAGTGGAGGGAAAGTTTACTGGGGGGCTCAYGGTTTCAGAGGTTTCAGTCCACAGACAGCTAGCTCCATTCCTCCGGGTTCAGGGTGAGGCAGAACATCAGAGCGGAAGAGTGTGGTGGAGGAAAGTGGCTCATTTGGTGGTCACAAAGCAGAGAGAAACTAAGCTAAGCTCACCAAATATATACCCCTAACACATGTCCCTGTGACCCACCTCTAGCCACACCCTTCTTGCCTTCAGTTACCACTCAGTTAATCCCTGTCAAGGGATTAATTTACTGATTGAGTTAAGACTCTCATAACCCAATCACTTCACCACTAAGCCTTCTTGCATTGTCCCCCATGTGAGCTTTTGGGGGATACCTAATATCTAAGCCATAACACTTGGATAAATATACAAATATAATCTCAGCCCCATCAGCAGAAAGACTCTGAAATTAGACTTTTTGTCAAAGACCGACATCCAGGGTTCTCAGATAAAGCCAAAGCAGTGTTCCCTGGTTTCCTGCAATTTTGTCCCAGTATGAATGA